GTCCCTGCCAGTAACCAGTTGATTGTGCAATGGCGTATTGGAAATTAATAAATCCTGAGAAAGAATACGTACCATTATAGATATATCTGGTAATATACGTAAATTTAACGACTACATCTTCATTTCTCAACGTTTCTGATATAAATGAAATTGAGTTGACTTCGTTCGCATGTGGAAGCCATGGATCTAAGAACCTATAAACGGAGCCCACGACACGGGAATTACCAAATTTGCGGCAGATGGGCTCTATCTTTATAGTATATGCGGCGATCGAGTCTTTCCGTCGCATACTCTATGAATCTAGCCCTTTGCGGACTACCGCTGCATATATGCGTTCTGCGTAAATCATCAAATTGGTCGAAGAACTCATATATGCGTTTGGCGAAAACAGTTGATTGAGCCGAGAAACGCATGTATGTGTCCCACGTAAATGCGTGGATATGGCCGAGAAACTTAACTATGCGTTCCGTGAAAACAACTGATAGAGCCGAGAAACGCGTACATGTGTGCATGCACGTAAATCTGTGCATGTACATATAATACGTCCAGAATTTGACTTGGAATGCTATGAACGAAAACCGCGTTTAAGCAGAAACATGCGCTGGCAATTTTTAATGACTATCCTGGCAGGAGCTCGGCCCCGCGGTACGGTTCAACGGTACGATTCACTTCGAACCGTCCCATCCGCAAAGGGCTAGATAGACCATAGTTACATTCTATACGCACTAACACCTACTTCGCGGCGTACTGTCGATTTACATGTATAGAAAAAAAATAGCTATACAAGCTTTGCCTATGTTCGGCTGTCCAACGGTTGACATGTTCAACATATGTATAGAAAAAGAAATAGCTATACAAGCTTTGCCTATGTTTGGCTGTCCAAAGATTGACATGTTCAAGAAAATCTTTTAGTTTTGCGCCGCCTCCGAAAAAGTTGAAATGTATTTAATATACTACCTAACAAGTAAATAGGTTTCATTCATATCTGTTACGTAATTGTATGATTGAATGAAATAGAAATTACTTCATTAGGAAATAGAAATTATTTTATACTTTTTAGTGCATTTCGAAGTCGGTGTATTTTTTTCTGAAAATTATTTTATAAGTCATTTATAATAATCATTTTTGCAATCATTTTAGTATATGTCTTTCCTTTTCAACTTTTCAATGTTGTAAAATTAAGGCAAGGAATTCGAAAATCATTATTAGCTATTCAGAAAAAAATTACGATAGATAGATTCTAATTATTAGAGATTGACATGCTTGATTTAGATTCCTTGCTCGTTTACATAACCAGTTTAAAGTAACAGTATTATCCAAACATCAAAGATGCTGCCTGGATTATTTCCTCTTATTGTATTCCTATTTTTTGCTAATGATGTATAGTATGTTTAGCATGCATATCTAGTGATTTGAATGGTTCGAGTACTATAATTCATGAAATGTAATAAAAGTTGATAAACTTTTCAATCACTCCGTATATATCTGATGAAATAAAGCAAGTGATGGTAGCTTCCTAAGCTCAATTTAGCTGTGCGAAACACTCTTGTTACCTCGGTAAATTGACAATATACATAAGTAGGTACATACTTACTTAGATTCAAACTAAACTCTAACTAAACTCTACTGCTTCTACTAAACTCTAGACTACCTACAATGTAAGCTGTAATGGAAGAAGATTGCAAAATCTGGTTCAAGGAAAGTAGTTGCTCACAGGTTTATACAGGTTTATCCTATTATAAGTCTAGATACAGCAATGACAACGGTAGTAGTAGAGATCCTTTAATCAGAATCCCGAAATAATTAACAAAGTTTAATCACGTTATCTCCCAACGAAATGCATAACCTGAAATTTAATTTGTAAACTATTGTATATTTTATTTAAAAGATTGAAGTTTCAAAAATTTTTATTTTTATAGTTTAAACATTTTTATTCGCTTCTTCATATTCAATGCAATACTATTGTTTTTCTATTGTAAAGTATAGTGATATTTATTTTTTGAATCGAAATATGTAAATTCCTATACATTCTATTGATAAAATACATTGAATGATACTTCAGTGATCTATTAGTTAAAATACACCATTATCTATATATAAATTTCGCAATTCGAACTTTTTTGAAAAATGGCGACATCAATTAAAATCGATGCCATTCATGAGTCTGATTAAAAGACCGCTAGGTAGCAGCAGGTGCAAACGCTACAATCCCGAAATCATGCATATAAGTCGAATACAGTATTTTTTTTTTAATGCACCTTCTTAGGTTATTAGTGACCACATTTGATTTGGGACTGTGTCGTAAACCTATTGGTATTACATTTTATAATAGAGACCGATATTTATCAAAAATGTTAGAATTTATATTGCGTCCTTATTTAGGGCACTGAATTAGGATGTGGTCAATGGAAATTTGTGCATTGCACACATCACAAATCCTTGGGTTTGATTTAGTAATAAGAAATTAATGTGTTAATTTAGTGTGGCCAATTCTTAATTTAGTTACTATTACTTGATCTTTTCGATTCATAAAGATTGCCGGGCTAATATCGTATATATTATCACGAATTTTATGTGAAGCTGTAGGTGGTGAAGTTTTCCAAACTGTATTCTAAAGTTGTTTTACGGCTTCGAACACAGTATTGTGTTGTAATATAACATAAGTATGTAGAATCCGTAATCAAAGTGTAGGTATAACAAGAGGCGACACTGGGCAAGGGAACCCACATCCTACAGAGAATTGGGGCTTGGGGTATGATTTCGACGGAGTACATATTTCGAAATACACATATGAATAATGTATAAGTATTGCGGACAAAAAAGAATATTTTAAATTTACACATTTACCAGTAATCTATTTATAATAAATATTTTTCCATTTCTCCGTAGCACTCATCTGTATTTTCTTGTGATACACAGTTTGTCATTTTGTTTTAAATTATTTGTAATAATCAATTGTAGGATATATATTTTTCAAATATATTTTCTAGAGTAATCATGTTGGAATATACAAAAATCAATTCCATGTTGTTTCTTTCATAGTTTATTTAACCTTTTAGCTACGACGCGCCACTTGTTCCGAGTTGCTCGGAATATAATTAACTTAATATTTATGGGTATTTTGTCAAGCCCAAAAATGTTTCACCTTTGCAATTTTAAACTGATATTTAAGACCATATGAACGTCTCCACAACTTGACGTTCTTAACAATTGACAATAGCCTTCTAACAGGTCAGAAAAGCACGTTTTCCTAACACCAATATACTTTTTCTTAAAGAAGTTTATTTCCATGGTCCTAAACTATGCACCCCACTAAAGTGGGCCTACGCGCTCGAACTCCGATGATAAACACAGGGTGCCCATTTATTACTTCCTTTGAAGGACCCAAATCACTTAACTGTTTTGGGTTACTTTGTTAACAAAATGTAATTCACAACCCTGGAATAAAGGCTAAAAATCTTACAATCCCATTCGCTAAACCATCTCACCAATCAGTATTTTTCACAAATAACAATCTGTCCTGATTGGCCCTTTTTGGTAACGCCTTCACGTCCTGAACTTTCTTCATTGCTTTCCTTTCTGGCTGTTTGGAGGCGACTAGTTAGTCTTAGATTAGCTTCGTTGAAATATACTTACTTTGGTCAGTCTTACATTAACTTTGTCACTATCAACGACTTCAACACACAACAATCATTACAACTAGTGGGATGATGATCTATATCTTTCATTGACCTGGGCACACCAGTGTGGAGGACTCTGAGCCACTTTATAAACTCTACTTTACAATAATAATTCTACATATAATTCCACCACCAGTACATATAATTCCACTTCCGTAACAAGTTGTGGAAACGCCATGGGTCGACGAAGATTTACAACCTTCGAAAACAACTATAAATAATTAATATTTTACCCATCGCGCGAACACCACTATAGTGGCTTTTGCGGATATCATCTTTCAGGACGACTCGCCACTATAGTGGCTTTCGCGGATGCGATCTTTGAATAACGCGCCAGTGTAGTGGCGCGCTCTAGCGACTCACTCGCTTACTACTTGAATTGAAAAATTCTCTTCATACGCAATAATTGTCTTCATATGAATAATTGTTGTACACTTCTTTTTTCTTTACATCGATTTACAACAGTACAAATAAAACAATAGATAGACAAAATAGACAGTCTTTGTTTTTTACGGCAGTGTCAGGTATAAATTATTGCTTTTTCCTTAAATAAATATACCATTTGTTTTTTCTAACATGTCCTTATACATTGTTAGAGTCTCTAACCCCAATATGCCACATGAAAATAGAAAACAAAGGGCAATTTCTGACAATTCAGTATCCGACTCGGAAGTCGAAAATAAAATCAATAGAAGTATGCAGGGTATGAAGAAAATAAAAAGAATAAGAATACTCGATTTATCCGAGTCAGAAGATTTTGCTGTGCGCGAAGAGGAAAGCTTTGAAAGAATAATCTGGTCACCTGCAAATTTGGAGCCGCAGGTGCATCAATTTGATTCTCGAAATTCTAGTATGGCTCAATCGATCGGCAATTCTGATCGACTACTTCCAAATATTCTTCTCGGAAGATTTGGTTTTATTTATTGTTAAAAAAACAAATGAATATCGAAGATTCAAGATGAACACTAGCAGGCACTCGTTCACAAAAGCTCACGAAGGGGAAGCAACACTGAACGAAATATATAATTTCTTTGTCATTAATGAAATATGGTATGGATATTAAACGAATAAATAAAGTTATTAATATAAATACTGAATAATAGAAATTAACACTTATAACTTTTAAATAAACTTTATATATTTATAATTAAGAAAGACTTAGGAAGAACCACTTAAATAACTTGATATATTATATCCGAGTGCAATGCAGAAAATTCACAAAGGAAACAAGGACGAAAAAGAATATTAGAATTATTTTATTTAATATTTGCAAATCTAAATTGAAGCGAGTGGCATCATGTGAATAATCGATAATCTAACATTCATAATTATCGACGTCTTATTACCAACATCAGTATACGTTATTGACTTCTTATAAATTTATTTTTGCCACTACAGTTATTCGTCTACTAATGACACAAGTAAAAAAAATACATTACACAGAGTATTGGACGAAAGATAAGTTTTTGCGAACAGACGTTTTCGGAAAAATTATGAGCCGAAATAGGTACGCGTTTTTGTTACGTAATCTTTATTTTAGTACAGTTCAATTAGAAAAATCCAGCCGACTGACAAAAATTAAGGAACTGCCTGATAAACTTTGTAGTTCCTTTAATAACTGTTTTATTCCGTTCCGTAATTTATGTGTAGGCGAGAGTTTACTTTTATATAGCGGATGGTTATCATTTAGACAATATACAGGGTGTTCGGCTACTGGTGGGCATAATTTTAGGGGATCGTAGCTGGGGTGATTCTGAACAACTTTTTCCTTTACCAAAATGCTGGTTAAAGCTTAGTTTTTGAATTATTACTGAAAAACACTGACCAATCAGAGCGCGAGAATAGCGCGCGCTCAGATGCGAGAGCGACGGGTGCAAGCGTGACGGTTGACCCTGGTCGTGAACAAACAAGTCGCGCGATATCGGTAACATAGTTACCATCATCGGTAATACGTCAGGCGGTAAGTAGTTATAAAATTCACAACTATTAATAAGTATAAATTTATTAACGAAACTAATTGTATGGATGAAGCGAAAATAAAGGTAAAGATCAAGCGCAGTTTTTTTAGATAATTAAAAAAAATGACTATTTGTTTAACGACATAAAATTAAAGAATACTCGGACGCTTACCTCATGAGTGAATTTATGATGCGAGAATTCTTCATTAATTTTGAAGTATATCGTCAAGATACCTATTTACTCGCTAAAATCCACAAGAGTATATCAATACCCGCTCTATGGGATTGTCAAGTAAAAAGGGTGACTGTCATATTTGATGTCTTCCGTATAATAATAGTACAATTTCCGAAATCCACACTAAACAAACACACAATCACATAAGCACCACGATTGTCCAGTCCTTAGTATCGAAACGTTAAAAATATCCACCTTTTTTACACATCAATTCGTTTACAAAAGTTTCTCACCATGTACACATTACACATTATGCGCGATGAGTGATTCAAAGAAAAGAATCAGTTATTGCAGGATGTATTATTATAAGGGTATTTAACAAATATTTCGGACATATACCAAGCGACTATGTGAATGTCGACATTCACCAAATTTCGGGGTTTCACGGTAACATATATGTAGTACAAATATATCAAAATCCACTGCCGAATAATATAGAAGCTATAGGCATAATGGGCATAATAGACCGATTCATACATCCGATGACCAATTTTTCTGTAACTTCCTACTATTGTCAAATCTTCTGACGTTCTTAATCGTGTGTTACTGTGCGAACGATCTGTATTTGTGTGTTATCAGTGAAAATATATATTATCCCGCGAAAATGAGTGCTAAAGAAGATTGTAAATCTAGGAAGAGGAAAAAGAAACTTACAACTATTTGAAGAAGAGAAGTACTTCACGGAAAAGACCGTTCTATAGATTTGAAATGGAGTCCTCACCAGAAAGTGTTAGTACACCTTCCCAAAAAGTGAAAACTCCTAGAGATACTGATGTGGATCCAACATTTGGGAATAGAGTATTGAACTTTTTTGCGGATTTCTCTGCTATTTCTGAAGTGGTCAAGTGCAAAACGTGCGATGGAAGTGTAAAATTTACTGAGAGTAGCAAATATGGTTTGGGATTCAAAATCGTTGTATCATATGGAAATTGTACGGGCACAAGTATTCTTAATAGTCCATTTGTCGATAAAACGTATGAAATCAATCGTCGAATTATTTTTGCTCTACGAATATCAGGTATTGGTTTCAAAGGCATCGAAAAATTTTGTGCTTTTATGGAGCTTCCACGACCAATTTTTGATTCCTTTTGTGATGAAGTTGTTGGCTCATCCCTGGCGCCGAAATCCTTGGGGAGGGGGAACTCCGCGCACCGAGGACCCGAACCGCGGATACGGAGGGCAGAAACCTGCGAGCCATTAAGCGAGTTATAGATCACCGCGAGCAGAGTATCGATCGTTTTTTTTTTACAGTCTAACCGTTTTTTCTTTTGTACTTCGAGTCTACCCTCCGTTTTCTTTCTCTTTTTTTTCTTTTTTCTCTTTCCTTCCGATGTGTAAGAGTGTGCGTCCGAGCGGTTGAGTGGACATGCCGACAAGAAAACGACGCCTGCCCGGAAACCAGCGAATAAAGGTAGGATCTTTGCCTTTTGTAAGATCCCTGAATGTGCGTATGAGCGGTTGTGCGTGTGGGTGGTTCCTGACGATAGGACCACCAGCCCTGGCGATGAGGACCCTAAGAATCGTATCCGCGGAATATTCCGTTGTATCAATTTGCGTCATTTGTTTTCCGTTTTCTGCGATTCTGGACGGCTGACCCCAGCTCGAGTTACCTTTTTCTTTTCGCTGTATTTTACGTTTAGGTCCATCGTCCCCTCGGCTGTCCACGACCCCCAAGAGGGCATGTTCTCCAACAGTGTACCCCCTTTTCCTCTATTTGTATCACTCGCACGTACCGTGAGCCCCCGTGTCGCGATATCGTCGCCGCACTTAGCGATCGTGACCCGATTCTCTTACCGAACTCTGTACCGCGAAGGGCTCGTTCTCGTTATTTTCGAAGGGGTCGCTTCGGCCCGCAAAAAGTTAAATTTATCATAGATACTCGCGGATTCTCTAT